TGATACGCTAGAAAAAGAACAAATTATCACATTTTGTCTTTAAGTGTGCAAAATATGTTGAACGAAATAAAATAAAACTTAAGTTCCGATGAAAAGGATAGAAAAATAAGAACTTGACAAAACTTGAAGCAATTTTAAACCGTCTAAGATGGTTAGTTCTGCAAAAGTGGTATTACCTCATATTTTTTTGTTGCTGTGCACTTGCATGAAAGGTGGAAGTGAAAGTTAACATTCGTGGATTCGTAATCTACATTCTAGCGTAATTGTTTTAGTCATGAACGTTGCGGAAACCTCTGTTAAACGTAATCACTGATTAATATTTCAGTAACGAATAAAAAATTCACCATAGAACTCGCGTATTATTGAAATTCGCATAAATTTTTGGTTAATTTTTTAGAAAATCATTGCAGTATTTTATTTTACAGTATAAACATAATATAAAAATTCACACAAAAATACGACTAAGATATTTGTTAGTATTTTTTAATTCAACATTGATATTTTTGTTTTACCATAGGAAATAAATTTACAAAGTTCTTTGTACTTCGATTTCCTAAGTCAAAGAATAGAATTCAGATTTAGTTTCACGTGGGTGCGTAAATGTGTCTGTAATCGTTAGACCGTAAAATAAAAATTCCAAGTAATTAAAGTAACGGCGCAATTTAATTGCAATCTACTCTTTATATTTTCTGTCGCTTTTCATTGTTTCAACACCATTGAAATATCACTAATACTATTAATCTTTTTTTCTTTACTTAAAATTAATTATTACTTTAGTTCCTTTTTTTTTTTTTAACGTAATAGGTATAATGAATGAAATGAAAAGCTATTTATTCTCGTGCAAATGAGATAAAATGATAGTCACCAAAATAGAAAAAAGGTTGAAGAGAAATTACAAAGAAATAAAGATTTTGTCTGTTAAATCTTGTATTTGGAATATTTCAAATTCTATTATATTTACTGTAGTGCAGAACAAAAAAAAGAATAATAACTAGTTTTCTAATACCAGTTCAAATTAAAAAATATTTAAGATCGTATCACTGTTATTATTCGCACAGAAAGAGTTTCATTCTTACTCTGCAATTCTTCAAATGTGTTAATTTCTAAATTTGCAATCCCTTAATAGAAAGTGTACTCTCCACGGTGATTTTCACTTTCATCTTTCTAGCTCCTTTTTTCATTTCACTTTCACATAGGTAGAATTGTTTGGACTTTGGATAAGTTTGGCACTTGTTTGCCTTAATTTCGAGAATAAATTGTTAACATCGTGAACACTTAGTACGACAATTTTATCAATCTTCAGCTGAACTTACAAAGAACCTATCTTATGAAAAAACTAAGTATAAAGTATTAAATAATAAACAGCTGAATTACGAAAAATTCCACATCCTCGGAATATTACTGTAGAAAAAATTATTAAGAAATTAATTTCAAATAAAAAAGTTTCGAAGAACTTGAAAAAACGCAAGGTTCTAGCGTTCGGTACCAAACGAAAGAAGTTATTTCAGACACATTGTATCTCAGATAATTGTATTTTTATTAGTTGACTGTTAAATATATTTGTTCGTTGATTAATTCGATTCGTTCTCATTAATTTGAGACAGATACGTCAGTCCAAAAGTTGTCACAGCTTTGCGTAAGCGAGTCTTACTACCTCGCAAAGTTCAAAAGAACACCTATAAAACCGATACGTTGCGAGAAATCACAGTAAACAACAATAATCCTATTTTCAACGATATACAATTTATAGTAAAAAAGAATAGAAATACTCTAAAAAATCGGAACGTTGATGAAGAGGTCATCGACAGGAAGTGGGCTGTACAAGTATACATATCCATCCGATATGATAAATAAAATTGCACTGTGACAATAATTTTTTTTTTATATTTGAGAAATCCCTATGAAGATTTATACATACTCGTGTGAGTGTAACTATGTTTCTAGTCTCTATAATGCGTGTCTGTAAATATGCAAATTACATTTCTTCAAGATTATGACAAAGCTGTTATTGCAAAATAACAAAATATTGTATTATACAAAATTTACTCATGTATCGTTAATTTTATTTGTTATCCACTTCACGTGTATCTTTGGTAGTTCTAGAAGGAAAGGGCTTAAGTATAAATATAAATAAACAGATAAAAGAATTTATCTCAGGG